CATTGATTAACTTTCAAGGTGGTATGCTAAAAATACGCTAGATGGCGTAAACACGACATGATTTCATTTTCTCGCTGGCTAAATCCAATTGATATATAATTATATATAACTTGTTGTACATTTTTAAAGAAATTAGTTCACGTTTAATGTTTGACATTATGTAGAACTAATTAAACTTATTAAGTATAACAATGTCTCGTCCACTTACAAGCAAAATATGAGACTATTTTGAGTAGTTAAGTGTATATAGTTTATACATGGTAGATCCATGCTGCAGTTATATTAGTAGTATAGTTGTAGCACGACGTTAGACAATGCACGGCCTTCAAGCCACACCTCCGTGCCCGTCGGAGTGGGGAGCGTGAGGTTTTTTCGTTACGGCGGAATAAATTTCTGGATTCGGTCCCCACGCTCAAGGCCCACGATAGAAGCTATGCAATAGCCTAAAAAACGCAACAACAAACCAAAAAACAAAGCAACAAATCTTAAGAGCTACTTCGAAAAAATGTCACAAACTCTGACAGTAAGCTCTGACAAGAAAAACAAAACAAAAAAAAAACACAAGAGCAAAACTACAAACAAAGTAACAAATTTAATTCCTATTCACATTCTACTCGATAGGTGTACGCGCACAATTAATCTATATACAACATGAAGCGATCTCATCTCGGGTCACATTCCTAGCGTTTCAAAACTCAAAGGGGCCTATTGTTATTTAGCATAAGAGACAATCTATAAGAGGTGCCTGTCACGCAGCCGAGTGCTTCGCACGTAACAATCACACTTTAAGAGTAGCTATCACAAACACGCACTTCTATGCAGCGCTTCATTCGAGTCTCAAAGCATCAATGCTCAAAGTACTATGCAACCTCGAAACAAACTATAGCAAACTTATGCTCGGTGCGCATTGATCAAAACAGATAAGTTAAACAACGACAACATAAGTCAACCATTCTATTATTGGAGCAACCATATTATCCAACACAAATATCTCCGATAATGCCAACAAAATGTGATAACAAAAGTAGGGTTAATTCTCATTTCCTTCGCACAAATAGTTACTCAATTGCAATTTTCAATTCTACAACAACATAATGATCCATATAGCCGCAAAACATAGGTACACTCATCCCAAAGACATTTCAAATTCACCTTTGTACCTACAACCGCTAACACACTATGAAACATTTCGCAGAAAAATAAACAAAGAAAATTAACTGCTAATTACGCAACATTTTAGCGAAAGAATTACAGTATAAATTTACCGCTACAATTAACAGACTACAAAGAACAACATCGCTACACTGAACATAACATTTCGCGTAAACCCAAGCAAAAAAAAATTTTTTTTAAACATTCAAAGCTCCAGATGAGCCCTAGTCTCCCAACTAACCAATTGGAGGCTACACCGCGTTTGAACCCGAATACCATAAAGCGCGAACCGTGACAACATCGCAACTCGGGTGGTACACCTTCCCTGAGACCGTCGACACTTCAAGTGCTGATTTACCACGTGCTCGGCGGTGAAGGAAAACATCGTGAGGAAACCTGCATGTCTGAGAAATAAAAAAAAATATTTCGAAGACATGTAAAATTCGCCAACACGCATTAAGGCAGCGCGGCGGACACTTCCTAGCCCGAACCAATAATATAAGCGTTCAATAAGTGGGCTGACGACTCAAAGATCAGTGGAGGCGGCCGTGGCAGGAGCCAGGGCGGCAGCCACCCAGTTGGAGCTGCCTACATCAGACCGGCACTAGAAGCGGGGTCAAGAAAGCGCCGAGTTTCGCCCAACAGGGGACGTGACTACACGTTCCCCCGCCCATGCAAGTCGGGAGCCCAGCAGAGCCCCGAGAAAAGCGCCGGTCGCACCCAGGCACAACACGGCTTGGTGACTGTCCTGGCAGTGCAATGCAACCTTTCAAAATTCTCCATTGCTTCATTTAACGTGTTCGACTCATTTGTTTCGTTAAAGGAAGCTTAACAAAAATACAAAATAATGGGCCGTATTCAGTATACCTAACTTAATCGACATTCCACACTGAAGGGACAAAAACCTCAATATCAATAATCATTTAAAACAAATAACAAGTTACAATTCTCTCAAAAACGACTAACAAAATAATCAAAACTATCAACAAAGTATCCCGCCTATAGGAAACCGTAGTGCGATCTTTAAACCTATCTACATCTTTACAACTTTTATTTATTTCTTTATTCAAAGTTAGATACACTTACGTTAACTACATCGAACACGATTACCACCCGCGAGTACAGTCGGGCAACGAGACGCCAGCGAAGGCACCCAACTATCGAATCAAATCAATTAAACAAACTAATTACTACTCCACGAGTAATAACTACAGTCGTTAACGAGACAACGCTAATTAATAATTATTACGCTAATAATTTAGCCGACAATCCAAATGCAATACCAAATACACACGAACAATAACGATAATGCAATAATTCACCGAACTGCAATTGCCACGCTTATGTAGCAACGGTAATTATAAACCCTACTCGACGCGTGTACCTAAACCTAAGGTAAGTACCTAAACACTCTCCGCTTACGCTCGGCCACGGGCGTGGCACAAATTCTACCTACCACTAACAAAGTAAGCGACCAAAGAAAAGAAACAAGAATTATTTTTAATACGTGGTTCTATACACCGATCCTATCCGCTAACAAATAACACGCGAACAAAATAAAATTATTAATACGTATTGCAAACAAAACAGAACCAACAGCCACGTGGTTACTACCGCTATCTTGCTATCAACTTTACGCTGCGCAGGGAGGCCACGCCTCCACCACCAAAATGCTACGTATTGCGCTGAGTGGTTGCAAACCCATCAGGGAACCACGCTCTGCTACCAAAATGTTACTGCCTCTGACTACCCTGACCATACTCGAATACCCAGGGCCCACAGTGGAACAGCTCGACACGTAGACCAGAGGAGGGTCAAAGACCTGTGGAATATTAAGCGATAGCGGCTAACAAAGAAGGGAACAAAACTTACTTTTTTCGCCGAAGTAGGGTTAACCATAGGAAGATTCAGGTGTAAGTATGTGTGTGATTGTGTCATGATTAGTGCGTGTTCAATTGTGTAACCTGATATCCCCGCTGGTTGCAGAACAGCAGATCCGAGGGCATCTCTTCAAATATAGGATCCATCTTAGGGGCAGGTAGCAACAGCACATCATCTTCTCAGACACCATGCTCTTCCATCACCTATCAATTATTGTCCAATCAATTGTCCTTAGGTTCACACCATCAAATCCATCGACGTTAATTAGGGACACGCGGCAACTCAAGGACGGTGGGTCAAAGTTCAATGACACAGACCGACGTAGAACAAACTAACACCGCGGCGATTCAATTGACGGTTTCTCACTATGCACCAAAGAATTAAGCCTGGTTATCAATTCACCAAGTAATATAAGATAACTCAAGATCGTCCCTTCGAAGCACAATTATATTAATCTTGAGAGCCCAACCGGGCAATGCCTGCGCGTGCGTACTTCCCGCCTGTATACCAAAGGAGATACTGACTGCTCGCAGTAGGCAGCTAGCCTCCCCCTCCCGCACTTCACTAGTCGTTGCGTCACCCCGCTCGAGATACAGACGACCTATCCGGCGTAAACATGGGGTATTTATACACGGAAAGGTCACAAAAACCAATAAAGTGGAACACTTGACAAACGGCGCGGCCACTGCTTGAGTGCCGTATCAAGTAGAGCGCTCGTCGCGCGTATCAGGTGAGGGGTTATGGACGATTTTCGAAGATTTTGAGATTACTCAAGACATCTTAACTCAGATCGAAAGTATAGAAATCAATCTTCTCGACAAAACTAAGCCTAAATTCTGATGAAGAAAATATTCAACTCCTCCGATCGTGTAAGAGGCGCCTGCGGATTCTGTCAACAAGTGAAGGTAGTGATGCTGAAATTGGTCGCACTATCAAAGATTTAGAAAGTAGTTCATTATCTAAGTGGACAGAACCCAGAGGTAATCAACGCAATGTAATTCCTTTCACTGAATGTTGTGACATGCCAGTTTCTATTCGAATGTTAATGAGTAACACATCTCCAGCTGATTTTTATGCACTTTTAGTGACAGATAGTCTTTTACAACAGATTGTTGAATGTACTAACGCTTTCGCAATAACTAAGATAACTCGCACTGCAGAAGCTTCAAAAAATGCAAGAATTCGCTCATGGTCGATAACTAACCTCCCCGAGATAAAACATTTTTTTTGTTTGGTTTTTACATGGGTTTGGTAAAGCTTCCAATAATGGCTGATTGTTGGTCCATGGATGATATTATGGGCCAAAATTTTCCACGAACTGTAATGTCCAGAAATAGGTTTGAACTGCTTTTGCAAATGATCCACTTTTCGCAAGATGATGATAATAATAAATCGGACCGACTGCACCGCGTAAAGCACTTGCTAGATGTGATTAATGACAATTTCCGGAGAAATTATATTCCTTGTCAAGACATATGAATTGATGAGTGTATGGTTCCGTTTCGAGGACGTTTGGTATTTCGCCAATATAATAAACAGAAACCGCACAAGTACGGGATCAAATTATTTAAACTGTGTACCTTGCCAGGGTATACATACAAGATCAATATATACGCCGGTTAACAACACGAACAAAACAATGTCACCCCTCAAACAGTGGTAATGAACCTTTGCCAGAACTTACTTAATAAAGGCACTCGCTGTACACAGATAATTGCTACACTAGCGTAGGCTTAGCCAGAGAACTCCTCAGAAATGAAACACATTTAATTGGCACTTTAAGAAAAAATAGAGAGCATATTCCTAAAGTTGTAGTTTCCACTATGTTGAAAAAAGGCCAGTTAATAGCGAGAGAAAGTGATGATGGGATCACCGTTTTGAGATGGAAAGACAAACGAGATGTTTTGGTGCTTTCCACAAAACATTCAACACGTTTCGTTTCAGTTACCAAGCATAATAAAACCAAAATGAAACCGGCTATTGTTGTAGATTATAACAAGGCAAAGGGAGCAGTGGACTTATCTGATCAGATGGCAGCATATCAGACACCATTAAGAAAAACTTTAAAATGGTACAAAAAAGTTGCATTTGATCTGATTTTAAATATCGCCATGGTGAATGCTTTAGTTTTATATAAAACTGTCACAAACAAACATGTATCTATTGTAGACTTCAGAAAAGAAATACTAAAGAGTTTTTGGCAAAATCTTCCACATCCGGAGCGTCTTCAGAACGGACGACAAGAAGGAAACACGTGCTTCAGAAAAGAGAAGGACCTTCTATGAAGGTGCGTCGGATGTCTGTAATATGCTACAAGAATTATGTGACCACATTTGGGCGTGCATTGGCCAGAAACAAAACTAAAAATGTGTGTACTTTTTGTGACACTTGTGTAGATAAACCTTTTCTATGTGTTGAATGTTTTGCAAACATACATATACGATATTAGTATTCTTTTTATTGTTGTTACCTAAATAATTTGTGGAAAAAAATCATGAAAAATTATTATTTTTACTTTGATTACTATTCGATACAATCTATCTTTTGTTTGTGTTTCATTTTTATAGATAGATTTACAGCTTCTGTTTCAGACATCTGAAAATAAAACAAATCTGTTACTATACTTAATGAATTTGTTACAGTAAATTTCGACTTCATCATCTGAAACTGAAAGTGTACAAAGATTTGAGTCAGCGTCTCCACAAAAAATGGGAGTTACAAAAGCTAGATAACTGCAAAAGTGACTCATGCACTTATAAATACAGTTGGGAAACTTTTGCATATAAAAGAAGAGAAATGGGAAATCATAGGAAAACGTATAGGCTTGCAACTGAAGGAACTAAATAAAAGAGTTTTATATAGCTCAGAAAATAATACATGATAACCTCTATAACGCCCAAATGGGGATGTTAACTGAAAATTCCAGTCAACACTTAGAAACCAGAGAACTGAAAAAAACATTTCAAGCTCCATTTCGCTATTCGGCCCGTAAACCAGATACTCAATCAGTACTAGCTGGTGCATCATCATAATTTAAATATTATACTAATTATGCGCCATACTGTCGTAACCATCCGCATTTCCAAAAGGACTACTTATTGAGTCTCCTCATCCATCCCACCACACTCAACCACCATATTCTTCCCCTATATCACTACCTCATGAACCCTCGCCACATTAAATCATCTTTAGTTATCTCATCCATCAGCATCCTACCATACTCAACCTCCTCTTTAATCCCCACCAACAATGTCAAAAGGAATAATTATTAAACCGCCATATCCATCAGAAAATGACTCGACTGAATCCTTTTCTTCATCATAATTAACACAGATAGGTACAATTATAACTTTCTCGATCAAAAGCTCAAACAATGCAGTTACTTGAAACAACACCAACAATATTATACGAATTATTTAGTTTAGACATTATTAATTTTACGAATACAACAGTATGTAAGGGAGATGGAAACTTCATGAAGGATTATTTGATTTCTAATCCAAAAAAGTAAATTATATAAAAAGCAAAGATATCTTTCATTCGACAAAATATTCAAATTATAAGTTTCTTTGTGAAGAAAGAATCTTATTTACTCACACTTATATAGTGCTTAAGACTTTATAGATAGCCTTATAATATGTGAATTATAATACCCGAGCTTGTTCGTGATCGGCATGGTCGGGTACAGCTAGCTTGGTGTGAGGCGTGACGTCGCGCTCTGCAAGTATGTGTAGCGAGTCCTGTGTGGCCAGCTACCAGCATCACCATCCTCCTGAAGTACTGGAGGCGTTGCAGCTGTCTGTGCCTGATAAGGCGGTGGCCAGGCGTCACCCACATCCCACCTTTAAGGTGTCGTATGCGAGGACAAATCTGGTTAGGTTCGCGCCTATGTCACGTGTTTTAAAATTATTGAATCAGCATCACCATCCTCCTGAGGTACTGGAGGCGTTGCAGCTGTCTGTGCCTAATAAGGCGGTGGCCAGGCATCACGCACATCCCACCTTTAAAGTGTCGTATGCGAGGACAAATCTGCTTAGGTTCGCGCCTATGTCACGTGTTTTAAAATTATTAAATAATATTTCCGAAGAAACAGACATTTACCACTGCAGCCTGGCAAACTGCACAGAAGCGGCGCACATGGTCTGTGAGATTTATTTTCAATAATTATTTTTCGTAATTGTAATAGTATATATTTTTATGTCTCTAGTTATAATTATCAGTTTTTGTATGTTTTTATTTGATAAACCAGCTTGTCAGGCAGACGTTGTTCTGCCCTTTTCGACGACAATTTGTCATGTGGTAGAACTATTGAAAAATTCGCTTCCGAAATTGAACAACTTATCATCAATTTGTTTTAGGCAACAGCGTTGTAAACGATTCAGTAATAAGCACAGTCGTGATAATTTGTATAGAAATAATTATAATCAGAATTACAACCATCATGATCACCATAGCAACTTGAATACTCGTGATCATAATAATACGCCTCGTACGGAACTAGTCCGAGATAGTTTTCGCGATAGATTCCAGCGTGGACCCCGGAGAGGTCGGCATTCAAATCACCCATCCTCTAATTCATAGTCGCGAAGTGTTTTTCAAACACAGTCAGAGCCCGCGGTAGAGCAGGAGCGCACTCAGAATACACCGAATAGCGAGTATTCTTTTTCGTAGAGAATAACGATAAGTTTATTTTAAATTACAATGTAAATAACATAGTCCATTCGAGTACAGAAATAAATCATTCATCAAGTCATTTAGTAGATAGTAACCGAAGCCTTGCGTATTAAAACATGAGTAGCTACTTGAGCATATTCCATACGATAACAAATTATGCTATGATTAAATTACTATTAAAGGCGTAATTAACTTTTGAAAGATATCTATGTATAGACTTATTGAGCAATAATATTTTTTTAGACGAAAGTTTTATGTTTTTAAGTACCTAGCGTGTTCTGCTAACGGAATATTAAATGATTTTTTAGGCCGATATAACGCTATTATAAATTAATAACGTAATCCGTTTGGGTACATAAAAACAAACCAACCAAACTAAGTAGCATTTCAATAAAGATTAATAATTTAACAAATAACAGTAAAGTAAGAAATGTCATAATTAAGAGAAGGCTTAATAAGTATGTTCCATAATAAATGGAAAGGGAAATCGACTAGAAATATGCTAGCACATCTTAGTACAAATTAGAAGGTATGTGTTGAAGATAAATAAATATTGTCTACGGCCTTTTTAGGTTTTTTTTATATCTTGTGCCTTGTTGTCATGGTTACGAAAATAAGAAAAATGTAAGACTAGTTTTTCGTAATAAGTATATTTTTGTTAGAAGATTAAATGTTTCAAGTCTAAGAAATCTTCTTATTTCAATGTGAGGAGTTACATACAACGGTCATACAGAAGCCCCCCACATAATGGCGACCGTGAAAGCGGATAGACCTGGACAAACCGAACTCGACGCTATAAGGCGTAAAAGGGCATACACACGTCGAGTATTCATCAGGTCAGTGCGAGAGATAGAGGAGTCGAATGATATTGAGCAGATGACTGTCGAATTTCAGTATCTTGTAGAGAAATTGGAAGAGTTAAAATCTTTTGACAGTCAAATAAAAAATACGACGATCGATTCTTGCACGGATGAACAATTTGATGAAGAATGTGACGAATGCGAATCGTATTTAAGGAAGTATTATGCAGTAAAAGTTAAGATTTAAAAATTACGAAAGGAATGTGATAGAGCAAATACATCTTCAGCGGCTACTGACGGATCTCATCAGAAGAGAAACATAAAGCTACCGAATATCGAGCTCATAAAATTCGATGACAATCCGAAGACGTGGTTATCTTTCTGGGGACAGTTCAAAAGATACACGAGGACGAGACTCTTGAACCAGAAGATAAGTTCCAGTATCTCATACAGGCTATGAAGGAGGGGTCCAAAAGCAGAGAGCTCGTAACTAGCTACCCTCCGTCTGGCAAGAATTACCCAAGAGCGCTGGAGCAGCTACAGGGACGATTTGCTCGAGAAGGTATCCTCATCGAGACGTATGTGAGAGAGCTGCTAGGTCTCGTATTATGTCAGGCTAGGGGACAACATATGGATATAAGATCGCTTTACGACCAGTTGATGACCCATTTGCACGCTTTAGAGTCACTCAAAGTAACAACGGAAAAGTACGGAGCGATGTTGTATCCATTAGTCGAATCAGCTTTACCTGAAAATATTTTAATTGTTTGGAATCGAACTAGAATTGTAAACGATGTTGGTCAATTAACGCAACTTTTAGAGTTCTTAAAACGAGAAGCCGAGGCTGAGGAACACATTAAATTGACGCGTGCTAACTTTAATACTTATAGTTCTTCCAGCAGTGTTGATGTGCCGCCGACAGCAGCTTGCATAGTTTCGAAAGAGGAGACAAGTTCCAGTAAAACAGGTAATGACATTTGCTATTTTTGTGATAATACGTCACATTCGATTCTTCAATGTAATAAAGGGCTCAAAATGTCTTTAGATGAAAAGAGAGCCGCTGTCAAAGATAAGAGGGGTTGTTTAATTTGTTTACGTAAAGGTCACGTAGCTAAGCACTGCAAGACGTTTTTAAAATGTATGGCCTGCGGTAAACGTCATGTAGTGATATTTTGTCCGGACCTTCATAGGGATAAATAAAAGGAACCCAAAGAAGCGACAGCACTTTTCTCTAGGAAAGGCGGAAATATTTTATTACAGACTTTGATTTTAGAGGTTTCACATGAGGGTAAAAAGAAGAAAATACGTGCTCTGTGTGATACTGGATCGCAAAGGTCGTATATTAGGAAAAACGTAGTAAAAGAGTTAGGCCTTAAGGTAGTAGGTATAGAGAATTTAGGTTATTCACTATTTAGTGGTGTTACTAAGCCAGCAGAAAACCACAGTCTTGTCGAAGTGAATGTAAGTAGTCTAGATTCTTCTTTCTCTACAAAATTCATTGCTCTTGAACTCGACGACATTTGTGGCTATCTTCCCAAAGCAGACGATCCCAAGCTAAGGTCAAAGTTAAAGTCACTGAATATAAGTATTTACGACAGTGACTGTGACCTTAGCGATGAAAATATGTTAATAGGAGCTGATTATTTAGGAGTAATTTGTACGGGCACTATTGTACAATTAGATGGGCCTTTAGTAGCTATTAAGACGAGGTTAGGATGGACATTACAGGGCCCTAACTTTTATAGTGCTGCACAATGCTCAATGACTTTCAATTGTCACGCTCAGAGTAAACATTCAGATTTGTGGGATTT